TTCTTTCATTCTTCTTTTGAATGTGTCTAGTTCTCGCATTTTATAGATTGGCATTATATTAAACTTTGGAGTGATGTCTTTTGCGCAAATGGCAATGTATCGACTGACTGGTAATAATGCATTGTCTGGATTTCGTATATGTTGGTTGTGTAATGTTACTCGATTTCTTAAATTTGAAGTTTCCCCAATATAATCTTTGGAACAACCATTACATTTCATTGCATAAATTACATTTCTAATGTCGCATGATCCTGAGAATTTTACTTTAAATTCGCGGCCATTCTTGAAATGGTATGTATTTCCTTCTATCATGTGTTTGCACAGGCCGCATTTTAAACTGCTGCATCTTTTTATTTTATTCTTTCTCAGTGTTGAAGAAAATCGTGCCCTGGTCAAAAGTTTTTTCAGATTAGCCGGTTGTCTTTTACTTTTAATTATGTGGATTCTGTCAATAATTCCTTTCATTATTTCATCATTTTGTAAAATTGGTAGATTTTCTTGTATTACTGTGAAAAATTCGGTATTCCTTGGATTATGTGTTGACACGTATGGTATGACTTTCTCGTCCGTCTTTAGTTTTGTCTTCCGTAGTTCGGATTGTTATATATAAAAAATTTGTTTTTTAAAAAAGATTAAAAGCTGAAGACCTCTTAAAACTTAATAGCATGTGATGTGCAACTAGGTTTGACATGTTATGGCATTTTTATGTTTTCTTCAAAACATTTCTTTAAAATGGCAACTGTATACACTTTTCATTACATCACTTTTAATTCATGACACATGATCTTACCATGATATGTTAAATATATAAAGGGAACTTCACTGATTTCCTAAAGCAACATTTAATTTGAATTTCTTACATAGGTCAACTTGATCATTTTAAACAAATAAAATAAGAATAATTGAGAAAATACTCAGAAATAAATTAAAATTGTATCATTCTGGTATTCTTAGCCTGATTTGAGTAAAAACGCGTTGCAATGCTTTTCAATTTCGGGTCACTTTTTTCGCAATCAAAATTTGTATTCTAGAAACACGGAGTGAAAGAATGGTCACATAAGTTATTGATCTAGACCTACATCAAATCGAACATTTATACCGAAAAAAATATTTCCAGTCCCGTCAAACTTTAGTGGAGTCCTGTTAAATATGAACTGATAATAATTGTAAGCAATTTATCTCCGGTAACTGTATGACTCCCCTTATAAAAATAACATAGAATGGTTCACATATATAACCAGTGGCAACGTTGCCTTGCCTTGTTAATCATTCTTCTCATTTTGGACGGTAGTTTGACAGTACGGTCCATGAACAAGCTCAATAAAACCAAGTCTGTAACATTTATGAAATTGCCGTTTTGGACTTTTTGTAGGGATTCTAATTTTCTCTATTTTATCGCCACATCATCGTTGTTTGTGCCGTGTGGAGGCTTTAAAATGTCGTCCCGTACATTCAATCAAAGATGTTCTATTTCCGATCCTTAAAGACCGTTTAACACGTCATTTTGTGTTGGTGGTATTTTTACGTTTTAACTAGTTGCCTTTTTCGTTTTGGTATGTTCCAATATTCCTACTTGAATAATGTTGAAACACCCTTAGGATATGTTGCCTGCTTTTTCAGCTTTGTCTGTTGACGTCTTTTCTTTGACATGCAACCTCTGATTCCCTTTCAAAATTCATTTTTTTAGTTTCGCCCATTGTTTTCTCGTTAGAGACACACGCTTTCTATAAATTGGGGACCATACGCCGCTTTCTATGAAATGACACACAAGTGTCACATTGAATGTTCCATGATAACCGCCGTATGAACACATCCGCGAATGTTTCTTAATTCAAAATGAACAGGCTCAATCAAACCGAGTCTGAAACATTTTCTGAGTTTTTGTAGGGATTCTTATTTTCTCTATTTTACTATAAACTTAATGCTAAATAATAACAGGCTTGAAATGAAAAAAAATATAAGCCATTCTACATTTATTTTTTAATAATATAAATTTTTTAATCCCTTTTCAGATTGTCGTTGTTCTATGCGAACATTTGCAACACAAAACAACTTTGTGCTTTTGCAGAAAGCAATAGGCATAATGGTGAATATCGTTAAAAACAAGGTGAATATTTCGACCCATCGCTCAAAATTACATTTCTTTCCATTTTAAATTGTTTGTCAGAAGATGTTTTTCTCGTTTGTATGGTAATCAAAGTATACATAAATCGTGAATAAAATACAAAAATGTATTACTCAAATCTAAAAAAAATAAAGACACATTTTCGATCTGTATCATCCAAATGGGGAAAAAATGGAATCCCTAAAGCACGTCAAAAACTACAAAAGTAGCTGCTGGCTCAGTTTGAACGGGTGGGTCTTCTCATGGCTGGTACTGAAAAAGTTCAAGTTACCGTCAACACCCCAATCACTCCAAGCAGAGTTTATCATTAAAATTATATACTATGCTCTTCTAAATATTTTAATCACAGAAGATTGTTTATATCTGTGATATTTTAACCGAATATGTTTCATTTAAATGTAAAGAATGAATAAACTTTATACCGGAAGCTGCGTTTCTTATTATAGGTCAAGCGAAATTGGCATTTTCCTCTACAAACCTGTTTTGTTAATGACTACCTATAGTGTGTAGAATTTTAGAAATAACAAATCTTCTTTGAATTGAGATCGCTGCTGGCCCATTTTGAATGAGTCTGCTCATGGCCGGTACTGTAAAAGTACAAGATACATTCTTGTGTGAAGTCAAAACATATTCATTTTATATTTACCATGAGGCTATTATGAGTAATTATAAAAAAAATCTAATTTCAGATTTGACCATTGTCAAAGCAATATCTTTGTATACACGAAAATGGTGAAAGTTTTAATTTCGAAACATATGCAAGTGTTCATACAGGGGTCATCATGGAAAAAAAGAAATAACAACAAAAAAACTGTTAGACTTTTTATTACTTTGGATGAGCTAATTACAAATGTTCAAAGGAACGTGATATATTTCGGACGCAAAATGTACTATAGAGAAAAGTCTAAAGTACATATATGTCAAACCCCGAAAAAACTTTGTTAAGTCTCTGGCAGGACTCAATTCCATGGCGGTTAGAGGCAAGTTGTTGAAATTCAACGGCTTAAACAGCGCGGCAGCAGTCGCCTCATGGTGTTACTTAATTCCTTTAATATATTGAACACTAAGAACAATAAGTTTTAAAGTAAGAGTAAAAATTTTAATCAAATTGATCAAATTAAATATCTTAATTGAATATACATGCATATGAAAGGATCATAGAAAGCAACCCGAGCAATCTTAAAGGTTTAAGCAAGTCATATTAAGCATACAATAAACAAGTATATCAGTATTAACAATGTATGTCCATTGTCAATGTAATAAGCATTTTTTTAACTCATTGCCTAATATCATGTTATAATGCATGTAAGAGTACATGACTTCTTACTCCACTAGTTTACCTAGAATGTCGTCATATGACCTTGAAACTACAATGATAATTCAGATATTGCTTAAGTTTAGCGCGACTTATGTCATAATCATGTATAACAATAACAAATATAAACAATATGTCTTTGATATAAATGTATATGTATATATAAAAAAAAAACTGTTTTTTACTGAAATAGGTCATGTTGCTTATTAATTTGTCACATGATTCTGACTATATAGGAAAAGGGATAAACAACGCACAAACAAATGGCTAAACATGTCTTTTACACATAAACAAACAAAATCATGATGATGACAAGAATACGACAAAACAACCTCTCCGTTAATGTCAAACCCTATGTCAACGTATAATAAACTAGTATATATAAAATGTTCTTAAGCAATTAGTTAAGCGCATGACTGGTTAGTTTGTACCAAATTTTTTAATATTATAATCATTCTTAAGACATAAGGAAGAACATGAATATTAGATCAACGAGATCAAAAGGTAGACAATATATAGAAACTTATTTCCCTCATGTTGCTAAAAGGTTGCCTTTAACAGTTAAGGCATCTCTAAGCTCTAGGAGGTGGGACGGTTTTAATCTCTGATGTTGCTTTAAGTTTAAAACAACCGAGGTTAGCCAAAATAATCTTCCTTGTTTCGGCGCCATATGACGTAAATTATGTTGGTGCGCCGTAAAAAAAACAAAACAAAAACAAAAAAACAAAAAACAAAAACACAACATAACAATAAACATAAACATTGTACATCGCTACATATAGTCGCTCCTGTCCAAGTTCTTTAAACTTTTTATGTCTTACAAGACTCTAATAATTATATAGACAGCTGTTTATATTCACATAGTAGTCTTAAATAGTACGGCACTTATTCAGTCTGATTAAAATGTTTGCTTACATGTTCAGAAACCCTTAATGATTTATTGGTAAGTAAACAATAATATTCTAATCTAGAATATTCATCAAGCTACAATTTTCCTGCATGCATTCATTAAATTTGCCCTGTACTTAAAATAACTTCCTTGTGCGTTTATTTTGGTGTCAAGTGTCTGATCTAATTTGAAAAAAGCGGCGATTCGTCAGTGAAAGACGGATCAATTATAATGGGAAGGCTTTGCAGAAGTTTAGCCCAAAACTGGTTGTCTGTGTACTGGATGTAAACATGCGTATCCATGTAAATTTTTAACTCCTTGCAAATAAGTTTGGTGTCTAATTCCTCTAACACAATTAACACCATATTAATATTTCTGTCTCTCAGAAACCTCATATGAGCTTCACGAAACTCCATGTTACACCACGTGCTTCTCAGGAAATTATTAGAAATGACAAGCAAAGTTGTTTGACTGGATTCAATGGCATCCAGTATATTTTCAGATATTGTTAGACCTGGTTTAAAGTTTTTCTCACCAATACATACACTATATGGTGGATCGTGGTTCTCAAGATAGTCAACAATCTTTTTAATGACATCATCGTCCTCACATGAATGAGGAATGAAGATATCGAATAACAACTTGCGTAGTTTTCTCCTCCGGCAGCAATACTTGCATATATCAAAATGGGATATCATGAAAACTTGTATATATTTAGATTTATAAGACAATATTATAAATACAAGAGCGACAAATATTACTGAGCCAATCACAATAAGTAATTCGTCGGTGTCTGTTAAAGTTTGGCAAATGAACAAATTGTCTGGTACTTCAACTATTGGCTTGTTTTTGCCTGGCCCAGTTGCGCATCTTATGTTATTCTGTCGTAAAATGTGCTTTTTGTTCGAATGCAGCCAAGATTTCATCCAACGTGTATGACAATCACAATTAAATGGATTGCCATCCAAAGCTAAGACCTGACCATTGCTGAAATTAAAGTTTTTAAACGATTTTGGTATCGTTTCAAGTCCATTGTCATTGAATAATAAAGCATCGAAAGAGGTATTTTGTATCATGTCAACAAACGATGTTTCAATGGTTGTAATTGCACACTGAGATACATCAAATTGTGATACATTACCAAGATATGCTCTGGAAGAGACTTTTGTCAATTTGTTAGATTTAATATTGATGTTAATCTTTTCAGCATCTGGACATGTCATTGGAATGTCATTTTCAAAATAATTTCCATCACAGTGAATGGTCACGAGGTCAAGCGCTGCAGTCTTGTTACATATACACTTTTTTGGGCAATTCACATCAACAGAGCAATTAAACTGATTTTTTGGAACTTGGCGTAGCATCATTCCTTCAAGACTTGAAGGAGAACCACATGTCACTGAAAATAAAGGGTTGTCTGGATCCATGTGCCTGAACCTTCTAAGAGCGTCTGCTATAGGGAACATTGCACAATCACAAATAAAAGGGTTAAAACGCACGTCGAACCCGGAGCTCCCCATTCGATATAATTGCAAAGGATTTGTTATATTTAACATTTCGAAGTAATAGTGTATGTTAGCAGTTGTAATATTATTGTGAGTTGCTATAATTCCCACAGTGGTTTTTATTAGCTCGACTTTTCTATGAAAAGGGGAGCTATCCTACTCGCCCCGGCGTCGGCGTCGGCGTCGGCGTCGGCGTTGGCGTCACACCTTGGTTAAGTTTTTCGTACCACCCCATTTTATTTCAGAAGTATTACAAGTATGGCTTTGAAACTTACCATACTTGTTCACCATCATAACCTCCATCTACAGACAAGAGTACATAACTCTGTCAAGGTTTTTGACAGAATTATGGCCCTTTTTTGACTTAGAAAGTGTATTGAGCTTGGTTAAGTTTTTTGTACCACCTCACTTTATTTCAAAACCATTGGAGGTATTGCTTTGAAACTGACCATACTTGTTTACCATCACGACCTTCATCAACAGACAAGAGGACATAACTCTGTCAAGGTTTTTGACAGAATTATGCCCCTTTTTGACTTAGAAAATACATTGAATATGGGTAAAATCCACTTATTGCCTTAACCCTTTGAGATATTGCTTTGAAACTTTTAATGCTATTTCACATCATTACCCCCATCTGTACGCAAGAGAAGGTAACTCTGTCAAGGATTTGTTTTAAAAATTAAGGCCTTTTATCGACTTAGAATCTTGGTTAAGTTTTTAGTACCAGTCCACTTTTTGACTGAACTGTTTGAGATATTAATTTGAAAGTTGGAATACTTGTTTACAATCATGATTCCCAAACATGTCCAGGAGAAGGTAATTCTGTCAAAGATTTTATTTGAATTATGGCCCTTAACTGTCAATGTTTTGTATTATAGGCAAGCACTAAAAAAGTTTTTTTTTCTTTCTTACCAGCCCTCTTTTGACTTAAACATTTCAAACTTTGCTGCAGTGTTCAAGGGTATCACACAATTCAGTAAAATAATTCTTCACTAAATATCTTAATGCTCATGGCCATTGTTCACTTTAAAAATACAGAGATTCTTGTATTGCCTTTTACTGCAAAAACTTTTTTTATTGGCAAGCAATAAAAAAGTCGAGCGCGCTGTCTTACGGACAGCTCTTGTTGTAAAATCTTGTATCGTTATATTCGCTGAATTAGTTATTCCTGTAATAAAATTTCGCGAAGCATTAACTGTTAGCCTCACATTGTCAGACAGTTTCAGTCGACTAAGCAAACTAAAATCTAAAACTGTGAGACTATTATTAACTAAATATATGTATCTTATACTCTTCATTCTTACACTAAATGTTCCATTTTCCACAAATTTTAACTTATTATTTCCAAGGTAAAGATATTGAAGGGATTGTAAGCAATCAAGATCCCCTTTTCGTAAGGTCTCGATGTCATTATTGTCTAGAGAAAGATATGTTAGTTGTTGACAAATGCCTTCGATTCCTTCAAATGTAACTTCCGTTATATCGTTGTTTGATAAATCTAAATGCACAAGATATCTCAATATGTTTAAATACTTTGGAATATTACTCAAATGACTATTCCATAGCATCAATCGCTCAGTGTATTTATGGGTCTTTAAACAGTCTTTAATTTGTTCATCAGTAACACCATTTTCTATTTTCAATGTCGGCGAACTTTTATGATAGCTACATTCAAATGCTTCATACAATGTCTTCTCAATGATAGTCAAATCATTTGCTCCGGAACACCTCATGAACAAAAGAAGTGTTACTAAGATGACCATGGCCATTTTGTTCATGTTTGAATGCTCATACTTTTTCCAACATCAAATTATTCACTTCTTTAGTTATATATATATGCATTACACACCTGGAATATGGTGTGCTTCAAGATGATCAGGTTTGAATGCTCATCTGTTGTCCAGCATCAAATTATTCACTGATGATGCTGATTCTCTTTTGTTCATGTTTGAATGCTCATAATTTTTCCAACATCAAATTATTCACTTCTTTAGTTATATATATATATGCATTACACACCTCGAATATGGTGTGCTTCAAGATGATCAGGTTTGAATGCTCATCTTTTATCCAACATAAAGTTATTCACTGATGATCCTTTTTGGCTGTACATGCATCCCGCACCTCGACTGTGGTGTACTTCAATTACATTTACCTTCCTGAAATCAAATAAAGCTGTTTGTACAACCTTTGCAAGAGGAGTTGATGAGTTTGTATAAATATTCGTCATTTGGTGAACAATTAAGCCCATGCAATAATATGCCTAGCCTCTCCGTGTTGCGATTAATAGTTATGTATTATAATAAACATAGTGGGATGATTCGTTCTGGCAAAACTTCAACGATATAATAAAGGGTGTTTTACATTTGGGGTATGAATGTGCTGTTAAGCCGTAACAAGTATCATTTAATCCCATACAAATGAATAATGCTATTTAATTTACAAAATTCGTCATTCAATGATTGACATGTGATCTAACAATAAATAAAGTGTTTTGCCATATAACCCTGTCTTTCGGATCAGTTTACATTACAATTGTTACAAACGCCCGTGCAATATTATTTATCCTGTCAATATCTTTAAAACCTAATTCGTGATTTGTATCAGCAAAATTTGGAAAAGTTACAAATAAACAAACGTTGTGTTTGAACTAAATAAAACGTTGAATTAACCATTATGTCAAGTAAGTGCAAATGCACATAAAACAGGTATGATATACAAATAGATATTTAAATTTATACAATATTGTATTTCTTAAACAAAACAAGAGAAAGCATATAAATAAAGAAAATTATTTCATAAAAAAAGAATAATTATAAAAACACAAAATCAATAACAGTACATACGAAACATTTTAAAGATTAATCCAATTCCGTTTTATTGTTCTTTTAAACCAGCACTAGGGGTTAGTTTAAGTTCACTAACCTAAAGGTAAATCACGATATTGTGATTTATGAAAATCGTGACACGCAATGTGTCAATATTTACTGCTAGTTACGTTTAAATAACTTTTAATTGAATGTAGGCTTTCAAGTATTAATAGATCGATCAAATAATTTACATGAACGCAAAAAATAAATAAATAAAATAAATAAATAAATAAAATAAGATAAAAAAATAATAATAAAAATACTAATGGTATATTACTATATAACAAAAATAGATTAAACATACCTTTTTATTAGCTACTGTTCCATGAAAGACTAAAAACTGAATGAAACAAAATCATTATGCAACGGAATAACTGTTTGTATAATGGAACCTATTTTAATCTGTGCTACCACTGAGCATATGTTAATGGATATACTGAACTTCCTTGTCGAATACTTGAACCTGTTATTTTAAAAGTGTTATTTAAGTGTCCTTGTAATTATACACTTTATCGTTACTTTATTTTGCTTTAAGTAGTAGTGTAGCAGTTATACAATTATCCGTGAGAAAGTATCTGCGTTTAATAAAGATAAAAATCATCAAATATGGTTTAAGTTTACACGATTGTGTCTAATTCTTTTGTTACAGTGCAGACTAAAAGTATCAAATAACTTTTTCCAAACATTACATTATATTAGGGAAAGGCTTCAGGGTGATTCAGGGATTTTGAACATTCATCTTTAACAATGAATGGTTTTGTGAATTTTTAGGGCACTCCATTTAACATATTTAGCGTAGTAAAGGTCAATACAGTATTATTATAGGTGTTCGTTCAGGGTATAATATGAAAATGTATCCATTCAAAATAAATATTTTTATCCTTGTATATCGTTTTTTTATATATAACAATCAGGCTTATCATGCTTTGCTCTGTGATTATCAAGAATTGCATTTTAAATCGCGCATCTGTTCATTGATCAAATTAACATTATGCATGTATCTAAAACTAAAATGTCATTTACCTGTCCAAAATAGTTTTACCTTGTGCACTTTCCAGTTTTTGTTTGGTGTCCCGCCGGACATCTTGCCGGTGACCCCATGCTGCTACGCCGTGTGAGAATTGCGTTTATTAAACGCCGCCCTTCCTTGTTTATCTTGCGTTTCATACTTTGATGTATCAGTACAGCTTTAAAAAGGTTATACAAATAACATAATCTTCACTGCTCACTATCATTTCATTTGTTTCGCGAAATAGAAAGTCTTTATTCTTTTATGGAAAAGGGTAAATATAGCTCTGCAATACATTTCTGAAAAAGATATTTGCCCTTTGAAACATTTGTAACGACAGGAAATGATAACTAAAATCGCATGGTTTATCTGAATAGAGTTGTTTGCGAGGCAATATCTCGCACGATCCTAGCATCAGCTTAAGCGGTATTCCATCTAAAGGAATCACTGACCCATGAAGACAAGAAGGTTCATGATTTATAATTTCAAATATTGCTATGACAATGTTTTTTAACCATAAAAATGTCTTTAATTATACGTTCTGGGTAATAAAGTTTAAGGATGACAATATCCATTACTATACAAGTACAAATTCACTATACCGGACATGGTTGGGACCGGTCAATAATTCCTTCCGATAAGCCAGAAATTAAGGCATGGACGTTCATATCTTACTTATAAAGATTGATGTAGAGGGCGGGACCGGGGGGTGTAATTGTTGGAATAATTGTTGCTCTTTATATAGCAACGGATACATCCAAAATAGTTATAATATATTATGAATTTACATGAAATATTGCCAGGCAACATGCCATGGACATAGTGCCATTGAGTCAATTCAGAGAAGTAAAGATATAAATAGTAAAATAATAAAAAAATGAAAAGGTTGCTAAGACAAAGCTCTTAAGTCTTTAAAATTCACCACTCAACGATCGTAATAAAAGGAAATTACATATTTAAGATTTTCTAATTTCAAACATGAGTCGCAGTAAATTAGACAGTAAATAATTTATAAGTTGCATTTGTCCAATTAAATTGCAATGATTTTAAAAATATGATAAGATAAAGATCAAAATAAGCAATTTGTAAATATGTAGAATATTTTGCCGTTTTGGACTTTTTGTAGGGATTCTAAGTTTCTCTATTTTATCGCCACATCATCGTTGTTTGTGCCGAGTGGAGGCTTTAAAATGTTGCCCCGTACATTCAATCAAGGAAGTTCTATTTCCGATCCTT